GGAGCTCACCAGCTTCGCGCCTGAAGCACATTGAATGCTGTAGAGTGGAAGGTTCCACGGGATGCAAGCTTTGGCAGAAAAGATCCCGGCTTCCAGGAGGGTGGGCCCTGAGGCCACCTCCAGCCTACCCCAGGAGACCAGCACTTACCCACAGCACAGCATCCAGAAACTCTGACTGTAGAGAATCCCTGTGCAGCAGTGTCTCCGGAAGCTTGGGCCTGGCGTGTTTTCAGAAAGGTGCTGACAGAGGCACGCTAAACTCCTTTTAAGAATAAATCTTGCTGCCCGAGAAGCTGGGGCTGGTTCGGAGAGGCAGGAAGCTTGGCGCCAGGGTGGGATCGGGTGGTTCAGGGGTGAGTGCTGGCCGAGCCCTAACATCCCCACATCTGCCTTGGGGAGGCATGTAAAGAGTAAATGAGAGAGACATGTCAAATGTATAACCCAGAGTCACCCACCGATTAGCACTGCAAGAGCTTAATAAATGATGATATTGAAAATTCAACTGCTACGAGCAGCCCAGAGCGCTGGTGGTGTGGCCCCGAGGGGGTTGCACTGCTAGCCCAAAGGCAACACTTCTCAGGTGGTTCGAATCCACCAGTGACTCTGTGGAAGAAACCGAGGGAGTATCTTCTCATGCAGTTTACAGACTGAAGAGCTATTGGAGGGTCTGCTGTGAGTCGGTTCCATGGCAGTGAGTTGAGTTGTTTGTTGGTATGCAGTGTTAGTGTAGAGGTTGGCTTCAAGCAGGAATGAAGTACTGTACCACCCCAGGAAGTAGGACGGCCTAGAAGAAATGGGGTGCTCCTGGAGACTGTTCTCCCCAAAGGCATGGCTGTTACAGGCCTGCCCTCAGTCTGCAGGTTGACAGGGAGACTTTACATCTGCTCCTTGAATGGTCCCTGCAGCAGTGCTCATTTACCCCCATTGAACAGATGAGAAAACGGAGGCTCGGCCTCAGGCGTTGATTTGGCCAAAGAGGAATGGAAGCCCTTCTGGTTTTGAGGTAGTGTGCACAGCTCTTGGCCTCCTGGGCCCAGCACATTCAGACAGTGATTAGGTGGTCCCCCCGAGTTGGCCAATTCTGCTATGGGACACCCCTGGCTTGCATGTGGGCCCTGGTACGCACGCTCTCTGGTCTTTCCCCTGCCCCGGGCCTCGTTCAGGGTCATTGCCTCTTCAGGTTCATTGCTCAGCAGCATCTGCGCTAGTGGGTCTATGGACAAGATAGAAACAAAGGGTTCCTGGCCTAGGGGAAGGGTGCGCATGGCATTAGAGAGGGCAGGTGATTGTGGTGATATATCGAGGATGCCCAGGGCCAAGCCCTAGGAAGGGAATTGCCAATGCATTGGGCACACAGATCCCCCCAAGCCTATTGGGGTGTCCTCCTGTGAGGGCTGAAGACTGGCAATCAGCTTTGCGGTTTTAAAAGCCTCCAGTGGCAGCCTGCTTAATAGAGATGTGGAACATTGGCTCAAAGTGGCAATCCTCAGTCTCTCTGCTCACTGCCCTGCCCTGCAGACAGGGAAGCCCCACTGGGAGGGTCTTCCGGAGGGCCTTTGGGGGCCTGGTCCATTGAATCCTAGTGGACTGGCCTCAACAACTCCCCCCACCATCACGGCTTGTGTCTTGTTTCTAAACTCTGCATAGAAATAAAACATGCAACTCACACTACATGCTGCTTCCCAGATTTTAAACTGTTGTTCTGTTTTCCATCCCTTGACCCTAGCTCAGCAGACATGTTCTTTGTATAGCAGAAGGCTTTACCCTAAGCCCCTTTTACTGTTTGTCTTCTAGGATTTTTCACTGAGAATCACAACCTTCTAACTAGAACCCCTTTGCAAAGAGCCCTGGAAACCTCTCTTCTTAGAGTCTCAGCCTAGGCAGGCGCACATGGTGTTCTTGTTAACGTCCGCATGTCAGAGCCATGTCTGCTCCATCAGGCTCTGCTGTTGGATAGTTGGCAGGGCTTGCGAAGGGGCCTCACTGATCTTTACCTCATTTCTGGGTGAGGTCTGTCAGTTCTGGATCAGAGGTGTTTTGAGTTTGCCTTGTCTCCAGACCCCTTTCAAGAACAAGGAGGAATGGGATCAGGTTTCCCCTATCAAGATTTGCCAGTTGGGTCATGCGTGCATGCCTCTCATTCATTTCTAGAACTTAGAATAAAAAATAAGAAAAAAATCACTGAGCATCTACACTGCATTCATTCTTATACTGGGGGTTGGAGTTCCAGAAATGAATAGAATTTGGCCTCTCATTTCAGCCATCCACAGACCGGTGGGGGGTGATTGACAGGTAAAGACAATTGTAATTGCCCCAGGATAGAGAGAGCTGAGGTTAGTATCAGTGTGGGCAGATGGTGGTCAGGCAAGCTGCTTGAAGGACATGGCATCAGGGCTGAAATACAACAGGGATTTACTAGGTGAAGGAGGAGGGGAGGAGGAAAAGGCATAAAAGGCAGCATATGCAAAGGCACTGGGGCAAGTGTGCTGCGATTACTGAGAAGATTGTTCTGTGAGAGAGACAGACATACTAAGAGACAGGGATGGGAAAGGAAAGTGAGGGAAAAGGATTGGTAAAAGATGGAGCTGGCTGGGCTGGATCATGAGAGAGGCTCTGTGTGTCTTTCTGGAGGATCTGAGAGTTTATGTCAGAATCACAGAAGACTGTTGAGAAGGATTTTACGCAGGGGAGCACCCTGATCAGCGTTGTACACGAGGAGGATCACCTTGAAGCCTCTAGGCGGATGGATTGGAGGGGCCCAGGCTGGAGGCAGACAGATCAGGCAGGATTTCTTGGGATTTTCTCTACAGTTTTACAAATCTGACAATGCTGGCTGGGGTGGGCCCAGCATGTACCGGCTTAGAGAGCAGAGGCAAAGCTCCAGAGACCTGCTTTGTAAATGGCTTCTTGACTCAGTTTAGTTCAACTTTCATTTGCCAGCCACTCCCACCCGCTGCCTAGAGGAACAGTGTGCCCCGGAATTCACAGTCCTGTACCCTCCCTGAAGGGTTGAGAACCTGGCGGCCCTGGTATTTTATCTGGAAGGGTCACGCTGGCTTGAGCCCCTTTGGGGCTTTGCCCCAGCCCCTGGCCTCCCTCAGGGCCTGCAGTGCCAGGCCACAAGAGCTCAAACATTGTCTTTCCTCTCACACCCGGCCGCTTGTCCCCTGCACACAGAGCGGCCATTGAGCAGCTGCAGGGCCTGGCGGGGGTCCCGGGGCCACATTAGTTCCAGGCAGCGGCTTAGTCACGCTCCCAGGAGCCTTTCTTCCTGGGACAAGCCTGCCCTTGTGCTCAGAGGATTCTTACACAGCAGCCTGGGTCTTGGCAGCTGCAGGACCCTGACAGCACACTTCAGTAGGGCCGCCAATGGGAACTGACCCCCAGCCTGAGAGTGTCCTGGGTGCTTGGGGACAACCCTGGAAGGCCACCCCAGAATCCCTCTCCTCCCTGGGTGCCTCACCCTGTCTGCCAGGGGCACCGCCTGATACTTGCTTTCTTCTGCCTTTGTCTGTGGCCTGTTGCATTCAGTAGCTTTGGAAGGTTATGCAAACTCCACTCCGCCACCAGGTTAAAGACCCAAGTTAAAGCCGAGCAGCCTCCACAGAAGCTCATTCAAAATAGTCCCAAATCCCAGTGCACCTCCCAGAAGTTATGGAATGCACATGTATTGAGCACCTGCTGCATACACATGCCCTGAATTTCTGATTAATTGCTGGCGAGTCAGCAGCCAGCTCACAGCGACTCCAGGCACAAGGGAGCGGGGCATCTGCGGGACCTGAACCGTCTTTTACAATTGGTTGCAAGTGAGAGCCTTGTGATCCCCTGGGCTTCCCTGGGCTGACCTTCAGAGCTCCCGTGGCGGGTTTGCTTCTAGCCCGTCTTGGCCTGGAAGCTTTGCTGAAGCTTACTCAGCAGCCTGGCAGCTCTCACAAATCCACAGATAGGGTTTGCTTGAGGTTCATTGGCCGGGAGTCGAAGCTGGGTAAGGTTCGCCTGCTGTGGTGGTGTCTCTGGACAGGTTGGGGTCCTGCGTTTGTAGAGAATATGGGCTCTGAATACAGAATGTCTGTGAGCAAACCTCAGTCCTTCTCTACCAGCTGTGTAATTGTGGGGGAGTTGCTCCCCTCCCTCTGCCTTAGTCTTCTCAGCTGTGAAATGGAGATGTTATGCGATTTGCCGCCTTGAATTAGTGTGCGAGTACAATTTGCTAATGTGTAAAATGCTTAGCTTAGTGCCTGACACACAGTAAGGGCTCAGTAAAAACTTGCTGTACCTCCTTCACCTGAATGGTTCAAATGGTTATATTGTTTGGCTGCTAACTGAAAAACTGAGAGTTCAAGTACCTCTAAAAGCACCTCAGCAGAAAGGCCTGGTGATCCACTTCTGAAAAAAAAAAAAGCCTCTGAAAACTCTGTGGAACACATTTCTACTCTGACATACTTGGAGTCAACAGGAGTCAACATCCACTTGGTAGTCTCTAGTTACTGGGAGCTCTGGTGGCCTAGTGTGGTGGCTGGGGTTGCACTGCCAACCAAAAGGCAAGAGTTCAAATCCACCAGATGCTCTACAGAAAAGAGGTGGGCAATCTGGTGCAGCTCACAGCCTCTGAAAACCCACCAGGGAGAGTCAGCTATGAGTTGGTTCCAGTCCAACAGCAGTGAGTGAGCAAGTTGTTATTATTAAGATGTCCTTTATATTTGCATAAAGAAGTATTATACCCATTATACAGATAAGGAAGCTGAGGGCCTGCAGGCTAAACACCTAGTATCACACAGTCACAGGTTGGAACCCATCTCTTAGTCCCATGCTCCTACGTCATTGGTCCCTGGGGCACAGAGGACAGAGCTTCTCTGACCTTATAACACTTGGGGCCATGGAGCCTCTCATTTCAGCTAAGCATTCTCTCTCTGACTTTGCAGATTTCTGACCAGGACTGGTGGCACTCAGGGATGGTGAACTCCATGACACTGGGATGGAGCAGTGGAGCCCACCAGTTGCTGGAGAAAAGTGATGGTGCCCTCTGAACACCTGCTGAAAACGGGGAGTGGGGTGCCAACTGGGGCCAGGAGCCAGGATGAAGGGATGACATCTCTGGGGGTCCTGGCCTCCCTCCCACCCGGGTGCTAGGAGCCGTCCCCAGGCTCCAGCCTGGAGCCCTGTGCTCAGGGGCATGGCCAAACCTTTCTTCCGACTGCAGAAGTTTCTCCGCCGAACACAGTTCCTGCTCTTCTTCCTCACAGCCGCCTACTTGATGACGGGAAGCCTGCTACTGCTGCAGCGGGCCCGAGTGGCCCTCCCACAGGGCCCCCGGGCGCCCAGCTCCCTGCAGACCTTGCCCGTGGCCGCCGTGGCGCTCGGCGTGGGCCTTCTGGACAGCAGAGCCCTGCAGGACCCTCACGTCAGCCCGGAGCTGCTGCTCGGTGTGGACGTGCTGCAGAGCCCCCTGGCCCGGCCTCGGCCTGGCCCCCGCTGGCTGCGGAGCCGCAACTCCGAGCTGCGTCAGCTGCGGCGGCGCTGGTTCCATCACTTCATGAGTGACGCCCAGGGACCACCTGCCCCGGGCCCTGAGGCCCCCAGGCCAGCCTCTCGGAGCCAAGGTAAGTATTCAATCCTAGTTCGCCTTGGGTATTGGTGAGCCCTGATGGGTGTCAGGCATGTCACAGGCATGGTGTCCCCTTTCTGCAGGCCCATGGCTGTCACAGGGCTCCCTGCATCCCCTGGGGAGGCCTGGAGGGCCTGCCTGTGAAGTCCTTTGGGATTCTGTGCACTCACAGCTGGAATTCCCCGGGGCTGCGGGCAGATGTACTAGCAGGTCACTCTGTGGGTTTAGGTAGACCTCACCTGGAATCCCTGCTTAGCCACCAGCTTGTGTGACTTTAGACTTGAACTTTCCATCTCAAGACCTACTGGAGACTTGACTGTCTACTGCCAGGTTATTGTGGGGGGAGAAGTGGGGTGGTATAAAGTGGGTCCCAGACCACCAGCCTCAGTATCCCCTGGGAAATGGTTGCTAGAGCAAATTCTGCCTTTCCTCAAAAAACTACTGAATGAGGAGTTCTCGAGTAAAGTCAGTGCTCTGTTCACAGGGCTTTGCAATGGTCCACTTGAGCTCACTAATCTCCCTGCTGAAAAGTTGCATTTCCACCTCCAGGTTTACCAAGTCAGAACCTACATTTTAACAAGATCCTTTGTGAACCTTATATATGCATTACCATATGGGGGATCTTGTTAAAAAGATAGGTTCTGAATGAGTGTGAGCTCCAAGTGGGGAGGTGGAAACAGATGGGTGAGGATGTATGGGGATGGGGGGATCAATCATGGGGTCGTACAGTTTGATGGCTAGCAGGGTGAGGGAAATGGGAAAGATCTGGTGCGGAAAAACAATGCATTTGAATTTTGTAAATAAATTAGCATTTAAAAAAAAAGATAGGTTCTGCTTTGGAATATCTAGGGTGGAAATGCAAATGAACCAGTTTTTAAAGTCCCAGTGTTGGCAGAGGCCGCTGCCTTGCCAGATGAGTGCAGGCTTCAGTTTTATGTGCCCCCTGGGTGATACAAAGTTAAGGTTAGCCTTCATCTAGGTGCTTGCAAAAATAAGATGCTCCTATAAAATGTGGAAATTATCTAACAATGTCCCTAATATCACATGCAAGCAAAGTCTTGCTGAAGATTATCCAAAATGACTGGAAGCATACATCCACAGAATGTTGACAGAAGTAGATAAAAATACAAGCGGGATTTAGAAGAGGCTGTGGCTCTAGAAATATTGCTGATGTTAGATGGATCACGATTGAAAGCAGAGAGTACTAGAAGGATGTCTATTTGTGTTTTATTGACTATGCAAAGACATTTGACTGTGTGGATCACAACAAATTGTGGCCAACATTGAGAAGAATGGGAATCCCAGAACATCTGATTGTGCTCATGTTAAACCTATACCTAGACCAAGAAGCTATAATCCAAACAGAGCAAGGGAGCCAGCACTGCATGGTTCAAAATCAAGAAAGGAGTGTTCTTTCTCCATACCTTTTCAGTGCGTGTTGTTATTGTGTACTGTCGAGTCAGAACCAACTCATAGCTCACCCACTGGCAGATTTTCAGGGACAGTTAATTACACGGGAGGAGGTTGTCCATCCTTCCGCAGAGCAGCTAGTTGATTCAAACTGCGTGCCTTCAGGATTGCAGCTTAATTTCTTACCAGATCATTATCCAAAGTAGAATGTGGCATCAGGACTGGAGGAATACTCATCATCAACTTAAGTTATGCAGATGATACTGCTTTACTTGCTGAGACTGAAGAAGAATTGAAGGTTTGCTGCAGAAGGTTAAAGCCTTCACCATGGGTTACATCTCAGCATCAGGGAAACAAAGATTCTCACCACTGGGCCAATAAGCAGTATCATGATAGATAAAGAGCAGTCAAGAAATCAAAAGATTAATTGCTCTGGGGAAAGCTGCTGTCAGGGATCTCTCCAGAGTTCTCAAGAGCAACAGTGTCAGCCTAGAGACCAAGGTGCGCCTGATCCAAGCCATGGTCTTCTCAGCTGCTTGCTATGCATCTGAGAGCTGGACAGTGACGAAAGATAGTAGAAAAAGAATTGATTCCTCTGAGTTGTAGTGCTGGAGAAGTGTACTTGAACATACATACCATGGAAAGCCAAGGGAACAAATAGGTCTGTCCTGGAGAGGGTGAAACCAGTCTGCTCCTTGGCAGCAAGGATTTTGAAACTCCATGTCACATACTGTGGGCATGTTTCCAGGAGGGATCAGTCCTTGGAGAAGGACATCATGCTTGGAAGGGTAGAGGGTCAGTGCAGAAGAGGAAGGCCCTGATGAGATGGATTGACACAGTGACTGGCAGTGAGGTCAGGTGTGTCAGAGACGGTGTGGTTGGCTCAGGACAACACAAGGTCGCTATGGGTTGTGGTCGGCTTGATGGCACCATTAACAGCAATAGGTGATCCTGATGAAAACTTCCGTTTTCAAACCTCTGAGGCTGAGGGCCTGGTGTGTCATTTGGCTTTCCATAAATGGACCCTGTTGTTATTGAATAAAAAGTAGCCAACCCACTTTCTCGGCACCTGAAAGGTCTTGCTCAGAAACTCATCCTCATTGCCACTGAGTTGGAACAGACTCCTAGCTGCCTTTGAGTTGGGTTCCTGAGGCTGTAAATCACAAGGGAAGGAATTGGCCCTCTTTGTCGCGTAGAGCCAGCCACTGGGGGAATCAAATCCGCTAGAGGGGAGCCTCAGCCATTGAGCTAGACTCTCAGCTCCCTCTGGGTGACACTAAGGTAGATTCATTTTCGTTTTATAAATGAAGAAGTTGAGCCTCTCATCCTGCTACTTACTGATACCGAGTCAGAACCAGCTTATAGCCAGCCTTCCAGTGGGTTTTCCGCCTCTGTGAATCGTGCAGGAGGAAATTGTCCAGCTTTCTCCTGCACAGTAGCTGGTGGATTTGAACCCTTGTCTTTGAGTTGGCAACTCCTTCCCCACGACGCCACCGGAGCTCCCAGTTGAGGCTGCTCTCTTAACTCCTGATACAAGAATTCAAACGCACAGGGTAGTTTGATTGGCATGGGAGAGACAGCGGCTGATAAAGGGTTTGTTACCTGGAAAGCACAAGTTTATGACTTGCTGCTGCAGGGGGTCGTCCTGAGCAGCCGGTGTACCCCATAGGTTAAATGTCTTGAATGGTGCCCCCCCCCCCAAAGATTTAAGAAAGACTTTGCTCTCCTTGCAGAATTTTAAAACCAAAGCAGGGAGGGGCAGAGAGATAACCTGACTGGAGACCCCCTTGCCGCCCCCTTTCCCTGCTGGGGCTCTGTGGGCCCACACAGCCCCACACTATCCTTCCAGGTGGGGAGTAGCCCGAGGCTCAGCCCTGGGCGCAGCTGCGGGCTGCAGACAAAGCCGGCTTCTCTTTGCGGCCGGGCAGCCTGCCATCCTCCTGAAAGGGGCTCCTGAAGCCGCGGAAGCTGCAGGAGCTCCATCAATCACCGAGCATTTCATTATACCTTGGACAACATTCATAATGGAATAAAATGTCAGTAAGTTTACTAGGGGAAAAATAGTAACTTCTCCATAGCCAGTTTGTTTTTTATTGATAGTAATTTCCAAAGACATTCCAATATCTCCAAAGCCATCGTTAATAGCCGCACGGCATGTCCATTTTGATGTGCAAATGAACAGATGCGGAGTCACAGACAATAATACATCGCCTCCACTTCAGCTGAAAGCAATAAACCCGCCTACGAATGTGTCCTTTCGAATCCCTCAGAAGTTCGTTCTTTTCTGCACATTCTTGCCTCTGTCAGGGAGTTAGAAAAGCCATCTATTATTTTCCTGGGGAGAAAAGGGGACTCACCTCCTGTTCACCAGTGAGGGGCCACCATAGCCATAGCTGAGGTCCTTTCTGCAAATGGACCGAGGGGCAGCCAGGGGTCAGCATCTTGTCCCGATTGGTCAGTGCTATCAAAGAGCCAGCTGGTTCCTGGATAGCCTCTCCTTGTTTTTCAGAATCCCTGACCATTTAGTGCTTTAAACTCCTTTGTTAACTCCTAATGTGTTCATTTCCCTAATAGCTCACTGATTCACCCGCATACTAGGTCCTATGTTAGAGGACAGGATTAGAATAATAATCACTGGTATTTATTGGAACATCTGTCATGTGTCAAGCATTGTTCTGTGTCACTCTGCATCTGTTACCTCGTTTGATTTAATGTTCAAACAGCCTTAAGATGTAAGTGGTATTAAAACACAACCTAAAACTCACCGGAGGCTCTTGAGTAGACTGGCTACCAGCAACCCCATGTGTGTCAGTGTGACACTGTACTCCATCGAGTTCCATGCTTGACATTCTGAGAATTAGCTCTACAAGCTTTCTTCTGAGACACCTCTGGGTAAACCTGAACCTTTTTCTTTTAGATTAGTAGCCAAGTGCTAAAGCATTTATGCTACCCAGGGCCTCTGGAAGAGATGTAATCACCACATTAATGATGATGATGAGATTGAGTCTCAGTAAAGTAATTTTTAAGTCGTGTAAGGCACTAATGAGCAAGGATGTCAGTTTAAAGACTAAGGTGTGCCTTTGCCAAGCCCTGGCATTTTCAGTTGCTTCATATATACGTGAAAGTTGGGACAGTGAATAAGGAAGTCCAGAGAAGGACTGATGCCTTTGAATTGTGGTGTTGACAAAGAGTATTGAATATTCCATGGACTGCCAGAAAAACAAACAAGTCTCTCTTGGAGGATTTGCATCTAGGGTGCTCCTTAGACTCTGTATCACATACTTTGAGCAAGTTGTAAGGAAATGCCAACTCCTTGGAAATAGACCTCATGCTTGGAAAATTAGAGGGTCAGGAAAAGAGAAGATGACCCTCAACAAGATAGACTGACACAGTGACTGCGACAAAGGGCTCGAGCATTGTGGAGGTCATGAGGATAGCACGGGATAGGGCAAGGTGTTGGTTTGTTGTACATCGGGTTGCTGTGAGTCATAGTTAATGGCACCTTTCAGCAACAACAGTTTTAAAATACTTACGATTAATGTTTAGTACTGAGTATTTACTATACTCTAAGCCTTGGACTAAATCTTTGTGTTATAGACTTCTTTCTGAGGTCTATGAAATTGACATTATGTCTCCATGTTACAGATGGGTAGGCTGAGGCTCAGGGAGAAGCAGCACCTGCCAAATCCCACGGCCAGACGAGTAGAACTGAGATTTAAACCTAAGCTTGTCTTTTTTCCAAAGACTGTTTCCAGCCCCACTTCTCCCAAAATGTGTACATCATTGTCTTAGCCTTCAAGGATCTGGAGCTCAGGCATTTTCAGAACCTTTTGGTTAATTTCCCCATGTACAGTGATAAATGTTTAACAACCCCTGAGCTTGTGTTTTGGGTGTTTAATTGAAACCTGTAATGGAATTTCTTTTTTGCTGAGTAACACAGCAGACATTTCTCAAATATCACCATTGTTTCTCTTTACTAAGCAGGCAGTCTGAAAAGGAAAAATTAATTCTCCCTGACCTGGGTGAAGGCTTTCTGCAGCTGCCCTTTTGCACCTCAGTGGTGCTGAGTTGCACGTAAAGAGAGAAGCTGGAAGGAGCCTGGGCACCTGGAGGGCACTCTTCAGTTGTGGCTGGCAGCTGTCAGGTCAACGCCTGACCCGTGGCAATTCTGTACACCCTGGAATGAAACGCTGCCCAGGCTGGCACCAACCCCATGATCGTTTGCGGGTCCTGATTTGTATTTTCATTGGCTGATTTTCAGAAGTAGATAGCCAGGCCTTTGTTGCTAGTCTCTCTTCATCTAGAAGCTCCACCAGAACCTGTCCAGCGTCCTAAAAATACCCAAAACCTCCCCTTGACAGAACCAGCAGTTATAAACCCCGTGGTGCTGATATGTCCCTAAATTGTACATCTGAAATGTTGACTTGACCAGTAACTGTGTTCTAGCTAATTCTACAACAATGAAAAAGGAAGGGAACACTACGGAACCCAGTTCTGCCCTGCTACACCTCGGTTTGCTGTGAAGTGGCCGTAACTTGGCAATGGATGGAGGGTGGGTGGGTTAGTGGATTAGTTAGTGGGTTAGTTGATAAGTTGGTGGGTTGGTTGGCTTCCACCCTGAATGCTCAGAGCTTATCAGTATGGTTTTAGGAGCTGTAAGGCACTGTTGACAGGCAGTTGTTGACATTGACAGTCTTTGCCTGACCCCAGTGAGTCACTAGGAGGCAGGAAGGTCACCAGATAGGGGGAGGATGTGGTTTCTGCCCCTCTGAAGCCTTAAGTCTTGTTGCTAAGACAAGCTGTACAGATTTCGTGATAAAAATTTGATAGCAAGTAAGTTTGTTCTTTTGGGGGAGTTCCCCCCACCACTTCCAGACACAAAAGCTATCCTTGGAGAGGGACATCATGCTTGGGAGGGTGGAGGGACAGCGCAGGAGAGGAAGGCCCTCTATGAGGTGGATTGATTCAGTGACTGGGATAATT